GGTAACTTGTAACTTCCCTTTTTCTGGACCCTTTGGGGCACAACCTAATGTGCTGGGCGCCAGGACAGAGACCACAAATTCCTTCATTGTTATCGTGTTAATTGTCCCTGCACCCACCTAAGTATGTGTCTAGCATTTTACTTTTTATCCAATCCCAGGGGTTTCCCCACTTTGCTTTCTCCCACCTCTCTAGTCTATCACCAATGGCTTTCCTATAACCCACTTATGTCCCTCCTATGATTGAAATGTATAAATATAGATGTAACCCGCCATTCTCTGGAGCAGCGGTTCTCAACCTTCCTAACGCCGCGACCCTTTAATACAGTTCCTCATGTGGTGGTGACCCCCAATTTCATTGTTACAAATTGAACATAATTAAAGCACAGTGATTCATCACAAAAACAATGTGTAATTATAGATGTGTTTTCCGATGGTCTTGGGCGACCCCTGTGAAAGGGTCGTTCGATCCCCAAAGGGGTGGAGACCCACAGGTTGAGAACCGCTGCTCTAGAGCATTTTCCCAATCTGTTGAGGTTCTGCTTCTCCAGCAATTGTCGACAGTTTGGCTCAAATAAACTCACAAAATGCTTACAGGTTTGAGTGGTTTTACGCTGACACAGGTGCCCGCCTGCCCTGCAGCCTGAGATCCGGCCGGAGGGGACACCTTCCGGATCCTGCCCATCATCCTCTTCGTCATCACATCTCGGAGGTGCTTCCGCAGACGGCTGTCTCCCCGCACGCCCACGGCCCCAGGTGTATCTGGAAGCGAAAGCAGAGCCTAAGGCCACGGCTTTCCAGCAGGCGGTTTCCTGGGGGAGCGGCCTGGGGGCAGGAGCCGGGGCCTGGGAGCCTGGTCAGTCGTGGAGCAGGCCAGGCCTCCTGTGGCTGGTGTGCCACCCGCGGGACCCCCAGCCCTGTGGGTTGAGCCTCAGGGTTGGCCACCCCAGGTTCATCCCCTCCCCTGCCCTGCCCCCGCCCCCGGGTGTTAATTTCAATCTTGCAGATGTCAGGTGCCTGGTGTTAAAGCAAGGGGGGCGGGCAGAGAGACAGCTGAGCCTCAGAAGGCAGCTGCTAGAGTGAAAGATGGGCCTGAGGCTGTGAGTTGGCTGAAAGGTGCCAGGGCTGGGAGGTCTGGGAGGCCTTGTTTTTTTGTTTTGTTTGTTTTTTCATTTTCGTGTCCCTGGAGCCAATATGGAGCCTGGCAAAGTGTAGGTACCCTATAAATATTGCTGAATGAGTGAATGAATGAAAATGCAAGCATAGGGAAATCAATGGAACAATATTAATTGGAGACAAAGTGGAGTTTAAACCAAGGATTGTATACAGAGACACTGACTGGGGCAGTAGCAGGGCCCGGAGGGGCCTGGGGCAGACCAGCTGGCACCTGCTTGTCAAAGGGTGACCAGCCCCTCAGCTCCACGCAGAACCTTGGACCCTTGTCAGATGGTTGGAGATTCTAACAGAAGCCAGGAACCCGCATTTGGTCCTGGCTGGTGTGCTCACTGGTTAGAGCGCTGGCCTGTGCACTGAAGGGTCTCAGGTTCAATTCCCGGTCAAGGGCACGTACCTGGGTTGCAGCTTTGATCCCTGGTCCCTGTCGGGAGCATGTGGAGGCAACCAATTGATGTGTCTCTCTCACACCAATGTTTCTTTCTCCCCCCTCTCTCTCTTTCCCTCCCCCCTCCTCCTCTCTCTCTCCCCCATCTCTCTCCTCCTCCTCCTCCTCCTCCTCCTCTCTCTCTCTCTCTCTCTCTCTCTCTCTCTCTTTCTTTCTCCTGCTCTCTCCCCCCTCCCTCTGTTTGCCCCCCTCCCTTCCACTTCCTCCTCCTCTTCCTTCTCTCTCTCTCTCTCTCTCTCTCTCTCTCTCTTTCTTTCTCCTGCTCTCTCCCCCCTCCCTCTGTTTGCCCCCCTCCCTTCCACTCTCTTTAAAAAAAAAAAATCAATGGAAAAAATATCCTTGGTTGAGAATTAACCAAAAACAAAAAAAAAAAACAATAAAGAAACCCTCATCTGCATGTGGGGAACCTTGTGCTTTTAAACATCGGCACCTCATGGAGATCTGAACTAGCACCCCCGGCGGGAAAACAAACCTCATGCAGTTCAGCTGGACTGCCAAGGTCATTCTTCAAGGTCAGAGACTGGAAAACACACAGCAGCCGTGCATGTGCGTGTGCATGTGTGTGTGTGTGCGTGTGTGTGCATGTGCGTGCGTGTGTGCGTGCGTGCGTGCGTGCGTGTGTGTGTGTAGGTGCCCCAAACAGCACCGGCACAGAATCACAAAGGACAACTTCCTAGAACTCCAAGGAGAAGATAATGAACGTGAACGTACCACATGCAGGTGGACTTGGCTGGGACCCCACCAGACGGGAGCCGTGGGGTCAGCCCAGAGCCAGGCTCCAAGTCCAGGGGGCCGAGCGCCTGGGAAACGGGCCGCAGTCACCACGTGGGACAGTCCTGGGCGGGGGCCAGGGGGCCAGGAGCGTCTGGGCTCAGCCAAGGAACAGGCCAGCCAAGGCCCAGAGCCCTGGCTTTGCTTTCTAACCATCGCTGTACTGAGGCGTCGGCCACACGCCACACACTCCCCTCGCTTAGAGCTAGTGCGTGTTTACCATGATCACTGTTAGAACATGTCATCGCCATAAAGAAACCTCACACCTTAGCAGCCACCCCACCAGCCCCTCAGCCTAGGCAACGCCTAACCTACCCCCTCCCCTGTCTGTGAATTTGCCTGTGGTGGGTGTTTCGTGTAGACGGAATCACACAATATGTGACTTTTCTTAGAGCATCATGTGTTCGAGAATCACCTGTGTTGTAGCACGAAGCAGTACTTCACTCTAACCACTGAGCTACACCAGCCGGGCTTCCTGATCCAGCCACCTGGGGGCGTGAGGCTCACTTCCTCGCGGGCCACCCTCGTGTTGTCGGCAGTGAAGCTGACAATTTGACGTCTGCCCTTTGTGTTTCGCTTGGCTCTGAACGTGGGAGGGGTGCTATTTCGAGGCCCCCAAATCCCCATCATCATCTCTGTGTCCCCCTTGGGTACAATGAGCCCACCCTCTCGGGGGCCACTGCCCCAGGGCAGACGTCCACTCTGCCCCTGCAAACCTAGGTCCGGCCTTTCCTTTCCCTTCTCGTGAGTGAACTCCTGGGGCAGACACCCCACCCAACTGCCCAGGGGACCCAGTGGCTACGTCTCTGGGTCTCCCAGCTCCGTGGTTGGCTGGTTGGTGACGCCTGCCCCTGTCTCCCAGCTCCGTGGCGGGTGGGTGATGTCTGCCATGGTCGGGAGAGGCAGCAGCACGGGGCGGCTGTTGGCTCAGATGCCCGACAGCTCCGGCTCCATCCGCAGTCTACGGCGTCAGCGGCGAGCTCTGCCTTCACAAGGCCACACTCATGAGCAGGCCTGAGACCCGACAGCCGGCGGGGAACCCAGGCAGCGCGCACGACACTGTTTTATGCTTCCAGCCTGTGTGACATTTCCCCAAGATTTACAAGCGCATGAAAAGACGCTGAGCACCGTCAGTTCTTAGGGAGATGCAAGTCAAATCCACAATAAAATGCCGCCTCACTCCCAGTCGGACGCCACCATAAAACACTGGGAAAGAAGCGGTGGCGTGGGTGTGGGCAGTCGGAGCCCGGCACTGCTTGTGGGCGTGGAGGTGGGGCCACTGCCGTGCACCGCAGTCTGGCACCACAGCATGGACACGCCATGGCATGGAGAGGCCACGGCACGGAGAGGCCACGGCACGGAAAGGCCACGGCACGGAGAGGCCACGGCACGGAGAGGCCACATCTTTCTCCCACCAGCCAGTTCAGCCAGGAGCTGGCCCCCAGAGCAGGCCCCCCAGGATCGCCTTGTCTGCCCCAGTGACCAGCCCTCCTGCCGGCCTGGGCCCCAGCTTTGGCATCTGAAGTCCCCGCCCTGGCAGATCATTCCGTTTTGAGTGGGGGTCCCCTCGGGGTCCCGCCCCAGGTCTCGCAGCCTCTCTGGGCATGGCGCTGGGCAGCGGGGCTCACTTCAGGTGACCCCAGTGGGTGGCCCCATTTAGGCCTGGAGCACAAGCAGAGCAGGCAGTGCCAATGAGTGGCTGCCGGGAGCCAGAGCCGGGGCCAGCCCGCTGCCAGCCTCCCACAGGCTGACCTGGAGGGCCGTGGAAAATTCCACAGCCGAGTGCCTCCCGGTGGGAGGTGCTGAGAGGGTGCCCTGCCCCTGCTCCCTCCTGCTTGTCCGCTGGCCGAGGGCGAGAGCAAGGAAGGCCAGGGAGGCACAGCCCGCAGACCCTGATTCGGGAACTGGGGCGGGGGCTGAGCCGCAGCTCCCAACTCCCCAGGGGGTCTGGGCACAGGTGGTCCTTGCGGTGCCAGAGACACGTGGTGGGTCTGCTCTGTGCTGTCCCTCCTGGAGTCCGCCAGGCCCTTTCCAGGCCCTGCACCTCGCTGCACCTGGACCTGGGCCACCTGCTCACTGCGCCTCCCTGGGGGCCGGCTGACCAGTGGATGCCTGGGCGAGACCTGGCACCGCGCCACTGCTCTGAGCCTGAGCTCTGGGGGGCCTGTGGGGCACAGGGGATGGGAAGGGGGAGGCCCAGAGAGGGGCTGTGCAGCGCCCAGGTGACACCGAGTGGGACCACCTGACCCCGGCCAACTGTCTGGCTGCACCTGGCATTGCCCCGGGCTTATAGGGCGATGCCTGTGACTCAGGGGGTGCTGGCGGGGCGGGGAGAGAGGCTGTGGGAGCCCCCGCTGTGGGTCCTGGGCCCAGCATGGGGGGTGCTAGCGGCTCTGGGGAAACAGCGCCCAGTTCCTTTTTCTGATTTCTCTGAACCCTTCAGTCCTAGATGCTCCCTGAGCCCCAGATGCCTGCCCCGCAGCCTGTGGGTGATGACTCAGCGCTTCTTGCAGCCTGAGGC